TTTTTTTTTTTTTTTTTTTTTTTTTGTGCCCACGAAGGAACGGTTGGAAGGACTAGACAAAAAGGGGGGGGATGAAGAACCACGTGCAGGGCCATCGCAGCAGCAGAGCGAACTAGACCCAAAAAAAAAAAAAAAGTTAACTCCAATCAGCCGTTTGCGCGACCGATCTAGCAGCCGTTTGCGTGGCCCCCTGCACAGACGCGTACCCGCGCAAAGATGAATGGACAGGGCGACGAGGAAGGCGAATCTGCCAAGTACATCTTTAGCTTTGCGCCGAAGGTGAGTACAGGGTTAGACCATTTCGCATGCGTTGGGTATTATAAAAACAAACCGACTGTGTTTTGCTGGGGAGGGAACACGAGCAACCAGTTGGGGGTAGGAATTCACACAAGGGAATGCAAAGTACCCACACCGGTGCCATTCTTCGAAGATTTCTTTGTCACCTCCGTGTGCTGCACCTACTACTGCACATTTGTTTTAGCTAAGAGAAACGCATGCGATGTGGGCTGCTCTGTGTACTCCTTCGGGAGGGGCAACAATGGATTGCTCGGGTTCCGGAAGAAGAGAATTGTTTTTTCCACTCATGCAGATTCGAACGTGGGGGGGAAGGAGAAGCTAGTGCGCTCGCTCAACAATAACGTGGACCAAACGGTGCTCGACGCGTTTGGGGTTACCAAGGCCAAGCAGCCATCGCCCTCACTCAGGCATGCTCACGATGGTAGCGGTAAGGATAGCAGCGGTGGTAGGGACAGCAGCGGTGATGACTTGCTCCACTTTGACGCAAGCAACATTTCGAGCGAAGCGGGTTCCGTGGGGGAAGCACCTCCGGTGGCAGAGTCCACGCAGCCGCTCACCAAAGATGCCTCCCCCACGGAGGAGAAGGACGACTGGTTTACCCCGGTGCCCATAAAGGTGAAGTTTCAAGAGCGCACCAAGGTTAAGTTTATATCCTGTGGAGACTTGCACACGTTAGTAATATGCACGAGAGGGTTTCTTTACGGCTGGGGCAGCAACGCCTTCGGGTGCGTCGGGAATGGGACAAACGCTAATGTATATGAACCGGTTCGTATTTTTCTCGGGGGTCAACGTGATCATTCGGCACGTGACCAGTTGGCACGAGATCAGTTGGCGCGGAACCCCCTTGTCCATACGAACGAACCCAACCTAGACGCCGTTATTCACTGCTCCGCGGGGGCAAAGCACAGCTTGGCCTGCACGTTGCGTGGGGACATGTACAGCTGGGGTTATGGGGCAAACGGGCGCCTGGGGCTAGGCAATATTCAAAGTCACAATACACCACAGTTGGTGAAGACGTTACACAAGAGGAAGAGAATCATTTATGTTTGCTCCGGGAAGTCTCACTCAGGGTGCATAGATGCAGAAAACAATGTGTATACATGGGGGAATGGAAAATATTTTAAGTTGGGTCATGGAGATGACAATGATGTGTTGAGTCCGAAGAGGTTGGAGTGTCTTTGTCGTACTCGTAAGATTTTCATGTTATCCTTTGGTACCTTCAATTCACTAGCCCTAAGTGCAAAGGGCGATGTATACCTGTGGGGTGTCTTTACTCAAGTAAAAAGAGGATCCTCTTCCTACACATGTAAGATACCTAAGAAGGTTAATACAAATTATAAATGTCTTTCTGTTCATGCATCTGTGTATATGTTACTGGGGGTAACTGTGGTGGGGGACCTAATCGTGTTGGGTGATAGTACTAAGATTATCACATGTGGAGGAGACAGTGGCTTGTCTAATGTAATAGCAACAAGGAAACATGGAGGAGAGTCCGACTCAGGAGACAGCAACACAGATGTACTGAATGAGCTCATTGGGCGGGAAGCAAATAGGATCGACCAGCTGACTAGACACAATGAATACCCAATTAAATATGTGAAAGAATTACGTGGAAGAATTCACATCAGAGATGTGTTAAAGACATTCTACATGTTGGGCAAGGAAGCCTCCGTTCGCCACCCCCCCATCATGGGAGGGCCAGATAAGACCGGATGGCATGAAGAATTGCTGTGGGATGAGGGGAACACGCTGTATGGTGATGGTACTACAACGCAGGGAGCATTACGAAAGAAAGAATTTATCGTCAGGTCAAAGATTAGAATGGTCGATGGGAGTGAACACTTTAGTGTGTTCCTTATTCAAAGTGGAAAGGTGTACACTTGTGGAGTTAATAAAAATGGAGAGCTGGCAAATGGTGAGTATAACTTGGGGAAAAAATTCGCTGTTCCTGTTCCAGTCGATATTTGTGTGAACAGAATTGTTAAAGTAGCATGTGGGTATAACTACACCTTGGCTTTGAATGAAAAGGGGTTAGTGTATGGGTGGGGGAAAAACGATAAAAGCCAGCTTGGCATTGGACTCATAAAGGACTGTTACGAACCCGTACACATAAAAGCTATAAGCAACGTGATTAATGTGTATGCAGGACATGATCATAGCGCTTGTATAATAAATAATTCTTTTGAAGAGAATTGTACGAATCGCCTCGCGTACAATGCTGTTGTGGAGATGGAAGATGAAACTCTGCTGGAGCGGGGAGAGTTGTACACCTGGGGAAATGCAGAGAGTGGCAAGGTAGGATTAGGGATAGACTACACACAAGGAGCGATTCTTTTACCCAGGAGAATCAATCTAACAAATAAGGTACACAAATGTTCGTTAGGAAATAGCCACACGATTATTTTAACTGATTCAAATGAGTTGTATGTTTGTGGAAGTGCTAGCAGTGGCAAGTTGGGTCTAACAGATGATAGTGTAAGTTACATGGTGAGTTCACCAAGGAAAGTTCAGCTAGATCCTACCATTTACATTAAGGAAGTTGTGGCGGGAGCTACATACAGTATGGTACTGTCGATGGATGGGTACATATACATATGGGGGGAGTTTATTAAAAATGAAGTGTGGTCTCAAGTGCCAATGTTATATCCTCAAATAAGTAACGTCAAGCATATTGTTGGAGGGAAGGACAAATACGTTCTTTTTCATACATATGAAAATAAACTGTTTGGAGTTGGTGACAATACACACATGCAAATACTTCACGACGCCAAAGAGATAAACATACGTGGGGCACCCAAGCTCATTCCTTACTTCATGAAAGATAGAAGCATTGAAGGAGCATACTCATTTAAGAATGCGTCCTTTGTACAGTTGGAAGGAACCCATGATTTGTTTGCCTGGGGGTTCACATCCAATTGCCACCTCGGCATCGGGGTGACTAATGTCACGTATTTGAAGCAGCCGAAGAAGGTTACCAAGAGCTGGGTGACGTACGAGGAGCAAGAGGGGAGAGACGCGCACAACGGTGGCGATGGCGATAGCGACGTAGGAGCGGAACGGGGTCTACTCGGCGGGCCGCTCAATTACCCATTTCAGGAGGGCATGGAGGACGAAGTACAGCTCGTGCGAAGGCGAATCCTCAACAGGACGCAGTTCGAGGACGACCTCATTTGTGGTGCCCCATATCACGAAGAAGAGGTAGAAAATATAATTAAACGAATACAAAGCATGCCGCATCTTATAAACTGGGATGCAATTCAAATGCTACTAAAGAAGGAGAGATACACAAACAGCATTCAATATGTTCGTTCATTCGAGAGAGACCTAATTGACATGTACACAAAACACATGCAGTGTCTTCTAAATCTGCACTCCATGGAAAGGAAGTACAACGAGTTGCTTCTCACTTACCAACACTACGTCCTCTCACACGTGGTGCTGCTCGGTGAGGAGCGGCCTTCCATTATGTTTTCCCCCCACACATACATCTTCGATTGCAACCGGGACAAATTGCAGCGGTTCATTTACATAGTGCAGCAGCAGCCCGTGTACCTCGTCATTCTGTGCCTCATCCATAATAGCAAGAATGTCAAGTATGGGCCTTCCACCTGTCACGCCTACGAGTATGCTCAGCATGGCCGGCAGGAGTGTAAGCAGGAGTGTAAGCAGTTGGAGGGGCAGCCGCAGACGCCGCCGCACAAACGCACCTTCTACCACAGCAGCACGCGCATCCTCTGCTCCTTCATTTTCGACCTCTACCACGACCTCCGGGACGAACGCGTGCGAAACATCTTTACCATTTTCCTCATCAAGCTCGGCGTGGAGGAAATAAACAACTGCCTGCAGGTGGAGGCCCTGTTCAAAGAAGACACCTCCATTTTTTTCGTCCTCATCAGGATGCTATTCTTAAAGAACGAAGTGCTGTCCAGCTTCGCGAGGTGCTTAGCCGATATGGGCAACGCCAACTCTTTCGTGAGGCTGCTGGACTCCCTGTCGCGCTGTAGTCCGGGGGGGGAGCACGTGCAGGAGGGGGTGCCACTCATCTTGGATTCTACTCCCCCGGTGGACCCCACGACAGGGGGTGCACTCGCTCGCCCGTCACTGAGTGGTGCCTCGATGAACCACGAAGCACTCGCCCGCGCTTCCATCAACCACGACGCACCCGCCGGCGCTGCATTGACTGGTGCTGCTTCTATGAAGCGACCTGCGCCGAGCCCCCCCCCGCAGAATCGCTTCATCGACGAGGCGAACGACTCGCTGGACAAGGAGTTCGCGTCCTTCATGAAGGGAAAGGTTCCAGAGAAGATCGACCCCCTGAATTTATCACTTAACATGTACAGCGGGTTGCAGCCCGTTCCGCATGGCCACTTGGAGGGACGGCCTGGTGATTATCCTCCTCAAGTAGTCCCCGCCTCGGGGCATGGACAGTGGCATGGACAGAACCCAAACGAACCCACGCCAGCTAGCCAAAAAAGTGTATTAGTCGAAGTAGACATGGTGCATGTATTCAAAGAGTTATGCAAGTTGTTCGAACAAATGGATTTCCCACACATGTTTCGAGTCATTGTGAAAAACCTCTTCAAGCATTTGTCCTTGTGTGAGATGAACAGCTACTACTACAAGGAGAACCTCCTAGAGAATAAAATATTTTATTTCACTCGGGAGCATTTTGTATATGTACCCTTTTGTCATTTGCTCCTCATGGCAATACTAAATCCAATGTTAAGCAATGTAGAGTGGTTAGGAGACAAGTTTTACTACCCTGTTATTCCACCACATGTGAGTAATTTGTGTAAAAGGGTAGCAACTCTGTTGGAGGTTCTTTGTATCAACAGGTATGACTGTCTTGCGAGTTACAACCTTAAGGAAAGTTTTGTGTCTGTAAAGTTTATGCTTGAGAGAACCTTTTGCTCCATGGTGAATGTGACTAACATGCTGTGCAGAACCAGGGAAGACGTGTACCTGAACGCATATATTAATTTGTTTAGCTACCACTTGAACATCCGACCCTGCTATGTACATTTGAAGGTCTTCCAGCTGTGCCACTTGCTCAACCTGTTTTTCCGCTTCCAGAATTATCTGAGCCTATCCTTCGATGACCCCGCGCTGGAGATCGTCAACCACTTCTTCACGCAGCATGCGCGGAGTCAAGCGGGGAACCAAGTTGGTCGCAGCGCGGGACGCAGCGTGGGAGAAGCGGGCAGCAGCAGGGGGCCCAGTGAAGGGACCCGCAAAGTGGCCGTCAAGGACAAGGCGGGCCGCCCGAGCAAGGCCAAGCAGAGCGGGAACTTCCTCCTGAGGTTGATGGCCAAGGGGCGTCAGCGGAGTCACATGACTGAGCGGACTGAGCGGACTGAGCGGCCTCATATGACCGAGATGACTGAGAGGACTGCGCGAACGAAGACGCCGCTCACGCCGCTGACTTCGCGCCTCATTTTCTCGGAGACCGAAATCGAGCTGTTCGCGCAGTGCAAGCTCGTGTACAACATACAGCTGGACACGCGCTTCCTGTTGGAGGAAAAAAATATGAGCATTTGCGAATTCACCAAGATCCCCATGCCCCAGTCCATGTGCTACAGAAAGAAGACGCGCATACGAAATACGGAATACCTCTTCTCGATCATCCAGGAGTACAAGCAGCCCAGTGATGAAGTTTACGTCGTGAGCGAGTGTCTTCGTGGGTGCCCCCTCCTCCAACCATGCATGGATACCTCCACCTTGTTAATAAAATTGAAGACACTCAGAACGAATTTCCTTTCTCTCGTTCAGCAGAAGGAGGCAAATTTAGTTGGAGTCATTGACAAAGCGCTAGACATTTTTTTATCCGACGAAATGGTACATGTGAATTATGAAGAGAATATCCCCCCCAACCTTTCAACACACAAATTTAGAGTGATGCATGCAGAACAAACAAAAGAACATTTCGAACGATTATTTATGTCGCCAAATGAGGATAACAGAAATTCCTTTTTCCTCATCAAGTGGAGTAATATAGCAATTCAAATTTGCCTGGAAATTTTAAAAAAAAAAAAACATGTCAATTATTTGAAAAAGTTACATGAACGGCAAGGTAAAATTGAAGAGTTAATTTTTCTTCACCAAAATGAACTGAAGAAAAATGTAGAAATTATAAAAAAGGCGTTAATATTTGTATCGAAATTGTTAATTGAAAGACCCATCCTTGTCCATGCTGCTCTGTTTGGAAAAAATTTATTCTTTGTTAAAATGAAAGTAGACAAAGATTTGCGAAGACGAGAGAAGAGTAACTTTTTTTCTCTTTTCAATAGGTCCACAGTTCATGTGTATGGTGTGAAAGGACTACTTCAGAAGGGTGTGTTGGACACCCTGAATGAGATGCTACTGCCTGTGGTGGATTTACTTTCGCTGGAAATATGTTTCAATATTGACAATGCGCTCAAGCTCAGCTTGGTGCTACGGGGAGGACCCGAGCGCAGGGTCCTGCATGTGCAAACGTTCCGGGGAAGGGACATCCAACGCATGTACACTCGCTCCCCCTTCATTTCGTACTCCCTTTTTCCATATAACAGGAGCAGCCTGTGCTCGATCCGCGCCCTCAGCCTCGTGCATTTGATGCACGATTTGGTGGTCGACTTGTATTAGTGACTTGGCCGTCACGTCGCGTTCGCGTGCATTCTCGTGACGTTCATTCGTTGAGTCGTTCATTGTTTTTTCGTGTTTTTTTTTTTTTTTTTTTTTTACCGACTCGGGGGTGCGGCCGCCTGCTTTTCCCCGCGCAACATCAGTTGTCGTCATTGTTGTACGTCTCGTAGTTGACGTCCTCGTAGAGAACGTTTGTGTCGTCCATCTGTAGCGTTTTGATGTGCGCCAGCTGCTCGGGGTCGTCGTCGTGGCCTTCGCCGTCGTGTTCCTCCGCGCCACTTCCCGCCGCCTGCTCGGCTGCCCCCTCCTCTGCCGCATCATTTCCTTCCGCGCCGCTTCCCGCCGCCTGCTCTGCCGCTGCCTGCTCGTCTGCTTCCCCCCCGATGAGCTGCGCGAGAGAGGTGCCCTCCCCATCATTTTTGTCACCAAAAAAAGGATCATCAGTGCTCTCTTCATATAACTCAATCGCTTCAACCATGTCTGCACTTTGCAGATTGTTCTCACTCGTGGGTTCTACATGCACGTGTTGTGAAATCTCGTTTGTGATCAAAGGATGTTCCGTGGTCTCCTTCTGCTCAGCATCAGTGGGTAGGGTCCCCCCTCCCTTGGAACACACTCCTCCCGTCACAACACTTTTTATGGTCATTTTTTTTAATGGCTTATTTAAGCATTGCGGAGGAATGTATTTAACCTTTTCTTTTTTTTTATAAAAAATTTTGTACTCATCCTTCAACTCATCATTAGTGTATATTTTGTCACAAAAGTAGATGCACCTGATTCGTATGCTTGCGTTTATTTGTACTTCAATGGTCTCCATGTACTTTGTTCTAAAAGCCTTCTCTGTGTATTCCTTGAGGTTAATTTGAATTATGTTCCAGCCCTCGTTCAGGATCATCGGCATGGTGCACCACTTGTTAGACAGTCTCGTCACCGTCTGCAGGGGGTCGGCTCGCCGGTCCGCGTGTGTTCACGTATTCACGTATTTACGTATTTACGTATTCACGTATTCACGCATTCACCTATTCACGCATTCACCTATTCACGTATTCACCTATTCACGTATTCACCTATTCACGTATTCACCTATTCACGTATTCACCTATTCACCTATTCACCTATTCACGCATTCACCTATTCACGTATTCACCTATTCACGTGCGCGTGTACATCTGGGAGGTCCTCACTCACCTGAAAATTTGAAATGCGAAAAGTCCTTCTGCACTTCTTGTCGTCCATTACACTTATGCGGAAGGAAAAGTATTTGTTCATCTGAGATGGGGGGAGGGGGAGGTGCGGTGAAGAGGAAGTGGCTTAGCCGCTGTTTATTCGGCCCGCCGCAGTCTATTGGTCCCGTCGCAGTCTATTGGTTCCGTCGCAGTCTATTGGGCGCGCCTCACATTTTTGACGATGAGCACGATGTAGGGCAGGCTGATGCCGAGGGAAGAGAATTTTTCAGGGCATGTGTAGATGTACGAGTCGGAGGTATTCTCTGAAGTGATCTCGATTGCACTTAGCTTGATGGTGTCGTCCAACACTTTTCTCACGCACCCCTTCTTGGTCTTTGTCTTCCATAGGTCCAGGGGTTTCGAGCTGCGGTGTAGAGAGCGGTGAGCGCGCGCATATCATCATGTGTGGTGGTGAGAGGGGTATCTGCAAACCGCTTTGCTGCGCCTTACCCCGCGCTCAGCAGGAGGGACAAAATGTTCGGCTGGTATTTGTTCCTGTACATGGTGGGGGCAGTGGCTATGCGGAGAGAAAAAAAAAAAAAGGGGACGAAGCAGAAGGGGGAGAGGAGCAAAGGATTGATGAACCAACAAGGTGGGGTGGGGGGGGCAGGGTCTCCTACTATCCACTTTATCGGTGTGCATAACATACACACGTGGGGAAAGCGACTCTCTCTGATGAGCGTCCGGCTTTATTGTCCTTGGCGTAACGTCACGCGTGAGAGGTTCCCCCTTATCGCGATGCATTTTTACCCACACCTTTGCAAAAAAAAAAAAAAAAAAAATGCGCGTCTTTGGAGAAGCGTGTCTACATGAGGAGAAGCTTTATGTATCTTTTTTTTTTTTTTTTTTTTTCCCCTCTCTTTTTGCGGAGATGCGCGGAACGGATTTGCAAAATGAGTGGACAGAAGATTTATCTCTTCCCCCTTTTCAAATGGCATAACTTTTGTCGAATTTACCAACCGCCCCTACATATGGCGGTTTAGATCCCCCAGTGGGAATTCTACAGGTGGAGAAAAAAAGGACCTTAATTGAAAGGACCAGGATATAATGGTTAAGCAGACCCTGATTAAAGTTCGCGGCACATGTGTCCCTGTCCCCTTGTCACAAAATCATGTTTGCCTTCATCCACATTACAACTGAGCAATCACTCGTATACCTTTAATTACACTTGCTCGATTGGGCAAGGGGTTATAAAAAAAAAGAAAAGTACGTGGTGTACATAACTGCAAAGTGGGGTGGTTGTTTTTAAATGGATGCCTAAGCATGTGCACGTTTGTCTGGGGTGGACTCTACAAATGGGTTCTTGTGTGCACGTGCCCGCACGACTTACGCAACAGTGGCGGGGCTCAAAAAAAATTAAATAAAAAAATATAAGCAATAATAGGAGCAATAATAATAATGGTGATATGCACAGAGATGCATCCCCCCCCCCTCCGGCCACAGACGCCCGTTCTAGCGGCGCAGCCAATGAGACAAATTAAAAAGAGGTAAAAAAAAAGGATCATAAAAAAAGGATGGTAAAAAAAGATAGTAATAAAAAAAGGGTCACAAAAGAGGGGGGAAAAGGCTATAAAAATTTGCCAATTTTGTAGAAACAGCCAAAAAAAAAAAAAAAAAAAATGATCGACGTGGTGGGCACACGTGTTATTATACACACACACACGGTAATGCAAGGTCAATTCGCTGGCATGTGTTTGGGGAACGTACCTGCGTCGTCTCGCAAAAGTTCGCCCCCCCTCCCTGTGCCGCGTCCATTGTGACGGTTTCCGCTTCATCGCTCAATTTGATCAGTGCTCACCGCTTCGGCTGACACTTCCGCTGCCCCACACCGCTCACTCTCGGGGCCTATCATTGTCGCTTCGGTTGTCTCTTCGGTTGTCGCTGACGCTGTCTCTTCGGTTGTCGCTGACGCTATCGCTTCGGTTGACGCTGCCGCCGACGCTTCCTGTTGGGACGCCCCTCAAATGATGGAGTAGAGGAAGGCGCCCGTGATGGCAACGGCAGAGCCGAGGGCGCCGAGCAAGGTGATCTGGGTCTGAAAAATGATGATGGAGGACACGATGATGACAACTCGCTTAATCGAATTCGCCACAGCGTGAGTCACTTGATTTACTTTCTCGAGACACATGAACGCAACTTCATTGTTCAGGTAGTACCAAATTCCACTCAAAAAAATTTTAGTAATGATCTCTCTGTAGGTATGGTTAGGGTTCAGGGTTGTATTCTGGTAATTCGTAACGAAGTTATATGCCGCCTTGCCCTCGAAGACTGCTACTAGGGGTAGGGACATGATAGCTGAACAGATGGTAATCATGGCATATATATTTGAAGCATTTAAATTTTCTCCTATTAAAGATTTCTGTGTCATCATCTTCTTAGCAAAAATGGACCTCAATGAAGACCCAAGATTCGAGATAGTTGCACACCAGAAGGATAACCAAGTGAAATGAATCTCCTTCACAGATGCACAAATAACTCCTGCCACAATAACTAGTAACATGAAATATTTGCTTATCGTCATGTATTGCTTGAGTAAGAGGATGGAGAGTAGGGCCGTGAAAACAGGTTCACATGCTTTCACCACATGAGTGAAGGATACTGTTGTAGATGACATGGCCACGACGGCACCAAAGTGAACCATGATGTGACAAAAACTCTGTATCCCGATATTTTTTAAAAACAAATCAAATGTATATATTCGTGGAAGCTTCTTGTACCCAGTCAGCCAATACATGGAAATGAATATCCATCCTGTGAAGAGCTGCACGGAGCTGATAAACCATGGGAGCTTGGTCATGTTAAGGGCTCTTTTATTATCCACATTGTATAATATGTTTAGTGCATACCATGTTAGGAACAGACACAGTAACTTGGCTCGCTCCAGGATCGTGTGGTAAATGCCTCCGCTCAAGAACTTTTTCTCCCCCACCTGATCTGAGTGCCCTTCGTTGATCATTATGGGGAAAGTTCCGTACTCATTTTTCGTGTTGTCTTTCATTCTTGGCATGGGGGCGGCGTCACGACGTGTTATAACAAGCGCTGCTAAGCGGTATATGGAGGAGAACGGGCAGCGGGACTTGGGATAGGGTTACGCGAACTGGGCACAGCAGCAAATGGAATGGAGTTCCCCCGGGGACAGGAAACTCAAAAATGACTCCTCCGCGTTGGCGGCTTGGGCGATCAAGCACTCAAGTACTCACGTCGTGATAGGCTGATGCGGTCACGTGGTCACCTCCTTCCCTGTGCTACGTTGTGTAGAACAGTCTGTTAGGTAACACGTGCGCATTAACAAATGGGTGAAGATGTGCACAAGCGCAGCATGCACGTACACAACGGGGTAAACAAAAATGCAGTAAAAATGTGGGCTAAAAAATGGAGTGAAAAAATGTTGTAATTAATGGGTTAAAAAAAAGTCGTACAAAAATGGCGTAAAAAAGAGTGGTAAAAAAAAGTCGTAAAAAAAGTCGTACAAAAAAAGTCGTAAAAAAATTGCGTACAAAATGAGGGCAAAAAATAACGCGCAGGAATGATACAAATAGGAATGCACAAAATGAACCTACTTTTCAGCGCGACGTGTATTTTTGGCTCCTTACATGGGTAGAGCCTATATAGTATATAAAACGATGGGCCGGTGCGATGCCTCCGACAGGTGCTGTGGTGTTCACAGGGGTGAAAAGAGAATATGCCCTCTCCTCTTTTCATTTACCTTTACCCCAACGGTGTTTTTTTCGCTCCTCAATTGAGAGTGCGGGTAGTGCCCTCCAACACGCACGCGCAACTGCACCTCATTTATAACGTATTAGCGGTTCTACCGCCTATATATTTAATAATAATACATGTACTTAGTATTTTATTCTTATGAGGTTGTTACTCCCTCATGTGGGATTAATACCATTGGCACAGCTTTTCTTTTTGCACGCGGGGAAACGGGGCTGAGGTTGTGCCCTCCCCCCCATTCAGCACTTCCAACATGGGCGTAGAAAAATTCACAAAAAAAAAAAAAAAAAAAAGCCAGTGCAAAGGGAAGGAACCGAACAGTTTTTGCACACATGAAGCAACTTTGACGATGACAACTGCCGCGATGGTCGCTACTTGCTTCGTCTCCCTATTGCGCTCCCGTTCGCCATCACGTGATGGATCGTTGCCATTCTCACCCTGGTCACTAACCACAGCGCCTTCTCTACCTCTTCCACAAACATCTTCACTCCTGCTTTGTGGGCGCTGCCCACACCCGACAATAGTACAGGTTGTATGTGAAAGGGACGAAGCAACCCCTCCCCCTCGAAGCGATAAACGCAAGCGAGCAGCGTGGGCACACATACACATGCGCACAAAGTATTATCTAATTGGAGGGAGTCGTCCCCCCCCCCCCGCACTGTACGAATGCGCGTGCTTAAAAAATGAAAGCCCATTCATGGTGTGTTCATGCACGGCATGTTGATCTTAAGAAAAGTGCCCCCAAGAAGGTTGTTGCACACGGGTGTGCGAGGGAGTAACCCTCCCCCCCCCAACGCGTTGTTCAGCTGTTCATTCTTGGGTGACAACGTACTATAGGGAGGGAAGATAATGTTAATACACGGAAACTTTTTTTTTTTTTTTTTTTTTTTTTTTTACAAAATATGGACCGTACACCTTTTGAGAGAGAATCAGGAAGCAATTATCCATCTGCACGCACATTTGAGCTTTTCACAATTGGCCATTTGATGGTGTGCCTCTTCACCATTTTTATTTTTTTCCCCTTGCATGAGAATTGCCACAGGTTACACACACAAACTGTGTATACGCGGTGCCCCCAATGCATTTCCATCGAACGCCTATATATAGCAGGTTGCCTGTCCCAATTAGTGTGCGTGTAAAGTGTATACACCACTGGAAAAGTTTTAAAATGGATTGCCTCTCCTCGCTTTTTTCATCAAAACTGAGAGGAGGTAGTTTACTACGCCTTTGCTTTTTTCCCCCCATCCCTTCCCCGTGTTGAGAACTGTTTTTTTTTTTTTTTTAAAAAAGGCGAAATTGTGGTCCGCTGTGAATGGTGTGGAACGAGGGCAGGCGTTGCAATTCCGCGCCAGCACACGCAAAAAAAAAAAGAAAAGCAGCAGAGTGAAGCAAAGAAGCGAAAAGGAAGAAAAACGTTGCCACTTAACCATGGGGAGTGTATTATCTCTAAATACTTAGCCGCTCATTTTTTCTCCCCCCCACATATGTGTGTGTACCCCTAAAATGGGGCCTTTAAAAAATTACCAAAAAAATTTTTTTATAAAAATGCTTCAAATGTACTTACGCACCTGTCCCATTTAATTTCTTCCAGGCGGAGGGAAATTATTTTACAAAATGGAGAGTGGAATGGTCCCCTCGGGGTGGTGGACATGGTCGCACTTGAGCAGAGGAACACATAAGGTGATTGTCCCCTCTTGTGTGTATAAGTATTTAAAAAAAAAAAAAAATTATTACCCATTTGACATGCCTGGCTGTGTTGGTCACCTCGATTTATGCGTCCCTTTTGAGGGAATATGCAGACGAGGCAATTCACACAAAGAAGGGTGTAGCTAAGTAAGCGGCGTGTGGAGGTGAAGCAACTCTTGTATCTGTTCACCGTCGCTTCTCCCCTTGGGACAACACACATGTAACGATAATTATGGGTGGACGAAATTTATTTACAATTCACCTGACCTGTTCAGGTAAAAATGCATCTTTTCCGCTTAACCGAGCAAATGTGGTATACGTCACCAAATTGGCCTCCTCTTGACAGGAGATTGCACACGAGGTGATACACAGCAAAGAATGAACCGTTTAAATTTGTGTAGAGTCACCACGTCATGATTTCACTCCCCACTGGGCAAAATGCACAGATGGTAAATGGAGAATAGCGTGTTCATTTCACTCCTTTAATTTTGTTTCCACTGGTGTGTGTGAGATTAAAAGGGGCATATTTCTCCTCCTCTTCCTCCTTCACACACAAACACGCACACGGCACACGCATACGCACACAGGTGCCCCCTCTACGTAGCTCATTATTCACACGAACTTTCACAGGGGAAAATATATAAACCATTGTGCTGTGCATGTTCAATGGGAGTCCTCAAATGTTAAGGCAGTTGTTATGGAACATGGGGAGAATTGGCCCATGCAATCCGTTATCACAGAACTGTGAGAATGTTTAAGTTGATTTGATTTTGTTTTGTTTTATTTCGACTAACCACATGTATGAATAGGACGTACCACTTGTGTTGTTGTGCTTGGCCGTTTTTTCCATTTTTTTTTTTTTTTTTTTTATCCACAGCTGACATAGCGCAGGGAGAGAGGCAGCATACCGTTCCGTTTTTATAACACCGATTTGTGGACGGGGGGAAAAAAAAAAAAAAAATATTTTACCTTTGAAAGGGCTACCTTTTGGCACCTTTTTTGATAAGCCTTTTTTTCCTTTTCCGTTTTTTTTTATTTTTTTTTTTATTTTTTCCCCTTAGCATGGCACTTATGCACATATATGTATTTAAGTAATAGCGTGTACAACTTTGCTCACTGGCTGATGCGTGTATAGGTACATGCGAACCTTTGCGCGCGGAAATACACCCTTTTTTTTGTACCTCTCGCTTGTTGCGAAGTGGCCGTTGTGAAGTGGCTCTTGTGCCTGTTTTGCGCGTCCATTTCGCGGTCACGTGTTTTCCTTAGGGGAGCTTTTCCTCCACAAACACATTTTTGCTGAGCTGTTAAACGCGCGCGTATGTGTGTGTGGGGGGTACTTATAATTTGTGTATCTGTATAAATCACTGACAGGGGAGGAGCCTTTCTTGCTCTGCCTGTCTTGGCAACATTTGAGCGGGCCGTTTCTCATTTGTGTAGAATAAAAAGTGTCCCTTCCCCAGTGGTAGTTTGACGCTGCACAGGAGCAACTAGATCCTACACGTTTATCGCAGGGTGTCACGTGCGTGCAAATTTTTTTTGTAAGTTTTTCCCCCCATCGGAGCGCGTCCTCGCGGCATATTGCAGTGCGTTTTTTTTTTTTTTTTTTTGTTCTGCCCCACGGGCACGCATAGAAGAAGAAAAAGGGAGGGGGACAAAAAAAAATCGGAGGTGACCTGATACACTCACCGATACGCTAAGGACTGTTCGAAGTACTAACCCATAGTTGCTACCCCCTAGCTACTCTCCTGAGCGCACCCAAATCGGACAGATGAAACTGGACACCGTGTTCATGTTCCTGGTGGTCGTTGTCATCGTCTTCACAGTCGAGCAAATCTGTCCCCTACATGAACTGCATAGGAAGCTGCAAAATGGCACCCTGGTGCCCTGGGTGAAGAGTACATTGAGGAAACTGTGTTCTCACTTTTGTTTTAAGAGCATAAAGAGGGACATGGAGATATTTTACCGCGAGAAGTACATAGTTCCGAAGCCGTGCTACTTTTTATTTTTCATCGTTAGCGGTTGCCTGACCCTGGGCGCCAAGTGGCTCATGCACAGGGTTTCGCAGCCGCTGGGCGAGCGCTGGATCCCCCGCAAGTAGGCCCCGGCATGCGCGGCAAGTGTGCACACGCACATACACTCTGTGTGTGGCCGCCTCAGCACTCAATTGGCAAGCAAACTTCCCACCGCGTCTCCTCCCCCTGTTTTGCCCCCCTCAGAAAATGGAGCGAACGCATACGCAAGATCAAGGTAGCTAGGTTCAACCTGATGTTCTTCAATTTATTTTACTTCACCCTCATCAGCGCACTTGGTTTTGTCGCGCTCAGCCGCCAGACCTTCTTCCCTCACGAAATGGGTGGCCAGGGCAAGCTCAGCGATTACTTTGCAGGTACAAGAGCAGTTGCCACGAAAAAAAAAAAAAAAAAAAAAAAAACAGCTCAGTTGGACAGACGTGTGCACGTGCATCCAAAAGAGGGTGGCACCAAAATGATACATATATATATACGTATATATTTTTTCTACGATTCGCCTGCAGGCTACCCCAAGCAGAAAACCTCCCATCTTATACACGTGTATTATTTCCTGAATGGTGGTTACCTGCTGACGTCGGTGTACTCCCTGCTCATGGTGGAGAAGCTGCCCGATTTTTATGAAAATTTTTTGCAGCACCTGTGTGCAGTTATCCTGGTTTACTTTTCCTATGGCCAGAACTTCCTGCGCGTTGGATCCATCATCATGCTCTGCCACGACATCTGCGAGGTGTTCTCATCAGCGTAGGGAACAGAAAAGGCGCGCGGAAGCGCCGCAGTACATCCTTCCGCGCCGCGCTACACCGTTCTACACCGTTCTACATCGTTCTACACCGCAGTATATTTTCTACGCCGCAGTGGACCCATTTTACGCCCGCCCTCCCCTCAGGTGCCGCGTCTTTGTGGACACGAGACACAAGGCAGTGACGGTCAGCTCCTTCTGCATCCTGTTCTCAAGCTGGGGGTTCCTTCGCCTGTACATTTTTGCCAAGAGGTGTATACTACCAGTGCATAGAAACCTCCACATGCTTAAACCCCTCATTGGGTACGAAGCTTGCGTATGGCTCATCTTTTTGCTTCTAGTCATTCTGTTAATGAATGCTTATTGGTTTGTGTTGATGGGCAAGATGTTTATTCACTTCGTTGCGAGTGGACAGACGGAAGACATTTTAACGCGCGTGGACGAGCTGCAGGAGGGGGACAAGAAGACTAAGTGAACGCGCCCGCGGTGCCACTCCTTCTTGCCACTCTTTCCTGCTACACGTTCCTGCTACTCCTCTGTCCCTCTTATGAACCCACAGCGTCCTTTTAAATCTGCACAACTTTTTTTTTTTTTTTTTTTTTTTTTCGTCCTTTTGGGAAACCTCTTTGTCGCTACTAGCCGCTCCCCCTTCTCTTAAAAAATAAAAACAACTCAAGTGGTTTTCAACATGGGTTCGACGCGTGATGGCGCAGTTGGGGAGTGGGTTCTTCAACATGGGTTCCACGCGTGACGCGCAGGTGGTGAGTGGGTACCTCAACATGGGTTCCACGCGTGACGCGCAGGTGGTGAGTGGGTACCTCAACATGTATGAGTCGTCGTGTGGGAAGCAAAAATGGATACCCAAGGGGAGCACACCAAGTGTGGCAAGGTGACGGAGGGGTCTCTCTTTACAGGGCATTTTTTTTTTTTTTTTTTTTTTTGCGTAACAGATGGTATGATCTGTCTAACGTTACGTTGACCCTCCCGTCCACATTTTTCATATTTTGCCCCCCTCACAGTTGTGCAGGGAGAAAAGGCACACTTTTGCACCACCTACTATTGCGGCCTCTTCGGAGGGGGTGGCAGCTTGGCCTTTTTGGACCACATTTTTTTGGGGACGATCGGCGCCTTTTCGCTGGCGGCAGATTTGGGTTCCCCTGGGGGGTCCACCTGGGCCGTTGGCTTCATCTCGGCAGGTGCCTCTTGGTCAGTTCGCTGCTGGTCGGTTGGCTTCACATGCGTGTCGCTAGGCGTGGACGCCTCTGTCAGCTGGGTTGTGTGCACCTGTGGAATGCGCTGCCCCCCCAGGAAGGTGGCGTAGATGGAGGTGAGCACTGATCGATCGGGGCGTAAAATAGAAAGTACCATATTGATGAGTGCTGTGATGAGTGTCCATCCTTGTGAGACGATATTCTTCTGGCGATGACTAAAGGAAGAGAATTTCAAGTCGGCGTTGGCCAGCAAGTACATGCGTCTCTCACAAACTTTCCTCCAAGCATGCTTCAACATCTCATGTGGATTGAACCCATGCACATCTTTTACTTCATACAGGTATAAAGGACAGTGCATGGTTAGAAGTTTCAGTATCGTGATGGCCTTTTTAATTCTGTGTAATAATTTAAATGGAAGAAGTAAGAGATCGGTTGGTAGGTCTTCAATGATGGGGATGTGTGCAGTGATATGGTGATTGTGGTTAGTAGTAGAGAAGCTTTTCGCAGTGTCTCCATTCATGAATGGTCCTCCTCCAACACCACCACATGATACCTCATTGTGATATGCTTTATGGTCGTAGTAAATTGTATGTGTTCGTAGAAGTCCTTGTACGAGACAATGCAACACGGTTACATTGTCGCTGTTTTTTACAATGACTTTTGCACCACTGGACACCAACGTTTTAATGACGTGGAGGTGCAAACCGTATGCAGCTAACATGAGAGGAGTTTCACCATGAAATGTCATTACATCTACTTCAGGGTTGTATTCTAATAAGGTCTTTACAATTTCATCGTGTCCATTTAGGGAAGCCATATGAAGAGCTGTGCTTCCTTCATTATTCATTAGTTTTATTGGTACTCCACAAATGATTAGTTGTTTTGCTAGCTTCCTCTTTCCTCTTGCACATGCGTAATGAAGTGCATTGTTTAAGCCTAGCAGTTTATGTGAAATGGACTTTGTGAGTAGTTTTTGAACATAATAATGTTTCACTTTATTGTTTAAAACGTCGTCTGATTTTCCTGTATCGAAGCTACTACACATGGGAGAGGAGGTAGTACTTTCATCTGAGTTGTTTGTTCTCTTTGTATCATTAAAAAAATTTTTTTTTTTTTTTTTTTTTTTTTTTTTTTTTTCCTCCATCTTCGTCTCATCGCTTGTAGATGAATGTATACCCTCTTCACATCTGAAGGTGTGTGGTCTTCCCTTTCTGTGTTGACCACCAACCATTTCATGATCGCTTCCTGCCACCCCTGTGTAGATGATGCTTTCCTTTTCTCCCGTGTTCGATTCATCACGATTGGACTTGCTCCCCTCGTTGTGGGTGTGATTGTACGTACCATTGTGGGTGTGATTGTACGTACCATTGTGGG